AAGAGAGTATCTCCAACATAAAACTGTTTTTCCTCACTCCATCAAAATTTAAACGGCATTTCAGTAGTTATTCATTTAATAGTAGGTATCTTATACTCATAAGACTAGAACTCATAAGATTATTCTAATCATCATCAAACAGTGCATTTTCAGTTTTTTTCTCAAGATCTTCTCGCAGTTTCTTGGAATGACTCTTGTTTCTTTTGGTGAAATTGGTGTATTTGCATGAAAATTTCTAACGTGTAGTTGACATATTTAAATTTTTCGAACGTGTAGTAGTCTGAATCTTTACGTTTCTTCACATTTGAAGATACCTTGTAAGCACCAATCGTCGTGTGGTCTTAAAAGTCTTGCAAAAATAAAAGTCAGCGGCGGCAAAATGGAAGAAGACTTATTAGACGTTAGGATATATAACATCGTTTTGACATGTTCTCTTGATTCGTTTTTGATAACCTGTTAAATTAACTGCCATACTAAAATTCAATGAAGACCATGTCAATGTAATGCAAGGAGATCATGTTTAAGTATACCACTTCATATTCCCATGTTATATATATCCTAACGTCTAATATGCAAGGAGATCATGTTTAAGTATACCACTATAAGAAGCGAATAAGCGATGAGAGGAAATTCAAAAGAGAAACACATTTAGAGAGAAAGAAAGAGAAAGGTAGAAGAAGATGAAGTTGCAGCCTGAGCACGGTGTGTCCTGGGTGGCTTATTTCTTCTTGATGGCTATTTTCGTGCTCGCATGTATAGCAGGGAATAAGTACTTAGTCTGGATCATAATTATTCTTGGTAAGCTCTCGACACTCGTTTTCGATTAATTTGTTTTGCAGAACTACTACGGGTCTTATGTTCTTTGTTTCTCTGTCATGTGATCAGCAAACACCATCAGCATTTTGAGCATTGTGCGTAGCATTAGCTATATAAAAAAAGTAATGAAGGACCAGAAGGACACCAAGCTCCAACGACAATTCTTTGAGAAAAATGGCGGCGACATGTTGATAGAGCGACTCTCGGAAGCAGGGTCATCAAACATTGATGTCAAAATCTTTACGGAGGATGACATGAAGGAAGCAACTAATGGTTATGATGAGAGCAGAATCTTGGGTCAAGGAGGCCAAGGGACAGTCTACAAAGGGATATTGCCAGACAACTCCATTGTTGCTATAAAGAAAACTCGGCTAGGAGACAACAACCAAGTAGAGCAGTTCATCAACGAAATACTCGTGCTTTCACAAATTAACCACAAGAACGTTGTCAAGCTCTTGGGTTGCTGTCTAGAGACAGAAGTCCCCTTGTTGGTCTATGAATTCATTACCAGTGGCACCCTTTTCGATCACTTGCACGGTTCCATGTTTGCTTCTTCTCTTACATGGGAACACCGCCTGAAGATAGCAATAGAAGTCGCTGAAGCTATAGCATATCTTCACTCTGCTGTTCCTATTCCAATCATCCATCGCGATGTCAAAACTGAAAATATTCTCCTGGATGAAAACTTAACTGCAAAAGTAGCTGACTTTGGCGGTTCAAAGTTGATGCCAATGGATAAAGAGCAGTTCACAACTATGGTGCAAGATACTCTCGGATATTTAGACCCAGAATACTATACCACATGGCTTCTGAACGAGAAGAGCGATGTTTATAGCTTTGGGGTAGTCCTCATGGAACTGATATCAGGTCAAAAGGCATTGTGCTTTGAAAGGCCAGAGACTTCAAAACATTTGGTGAGTTACTTTGCTTCGGCCATGAAAGAGAATAGGTTGCATGAGATTATTGACGACCAAGTGTTGAACGAGGACAATCAGAGTGAAATCCAAGAAGCTGCGAGAGTTGCTGTTGAATGTACAAGACTGATGGGAGAGGAAAGACCAAGCATGAAAGAAGTAGTTGCAGAGCTAGAAACCTTGAGAGTCAAAACAACCAAACATAATTGGTTGGATCAGTATCCTGAGGACAATGAATACTTGCTTGGTAGTAACATCGTGTTTTCACAAGGCCATACTAGTAGCCGTGGTTATGACAGCATCAAGAATGTAGCAAGTTTTGACATTGAAGCAGGCCATACTAGTAGCCATGGTTATGACAGCATCAAGAATGTAGCAAGTTTTGACATTGAAGCAGGCCATACCAGTAGTCATGGTTATGACAGCATCAAGAATGTAGCAACGTTTGACATTGAAGCTGGTCGCTGATAAATTCACATGTATATCTTTTGTTTGTGATAAAGTATTGTTTATTTCTTTATTGCTTATCTCCTATTTGTCTTTCTAAACATTTAAAAACCAGAATTGAAACATGACATTCACAACATTGGAGATCCTTGTAGATCATCCATATTTGTTCCTATATATGTATCAGTTATAATTGATGCAAACGATTTTTTTTTTTTTTACCATTTATGCAAGTAATCTTGGAAGTGGTGATATATGCCAATATTTTGCATCGTTTGAAATATATATTTGCATCGATTTTGTAAGCAACGTTGATATGCATCATTTACAAATAAGTATTCGGTTAATATAAACTTATTTGTTACAATTATAATAAGTGATGTTAAATATTTCTATCCGTTATAAATAATTGATGTTAAAAATAGTGTCAGTTTAATTATGTGATTCTGATAATTGCGTTATTTACAAAAATCGATGTTAAATATTTGTATCAATTATTCATAATTGATGTTAAAATTATTGTAATTTTCATAAATAATTCTAATAATTGAGTTATTTACAATAACCGGTGATAAAATTAAAATAATTAAATCGATTATTTTTGACACAATTTAATTGATGCAAAACACCATTTTTTTTGTTGTAGTGACTTACAGAGACAAAGGTTAGATCTCACCTTAAGAAGCTAGTGAGATGAGTTGCTCTTCAAATCGCAACTCTGATGATCTCTATATTAGTTAATATCACACGACACAAATAATGGCTATATCTATCTTCTATGTTGATGGAGAATTTGTATATTGTAAACTAAAAACCAAATTTATGTAGAATAAAAGTTCAATTTTTCAACACGTATCTTTCTGTCCTTTCATCTCACATTTTTCATCTATGTAATTCGATACATTGGTTGATTTTGGAAATTTATATAAATATATACTCTCCGAGTATCACAGGCCCAAAAGCCCAAACTACAGCTGGATCTGGGCCGAAGTCCCCAATTGTTTGTATATGACGTCACTCTACAAATCACAGCAACGAAGCAAAGACCTAGATATTTGATTCTCTCCTTGATAGAGGAAAACGTTTTGGTATGACTTATGAGAAACATGAATGAGATGATGTTGAAGAAGAGGAGCACTAACTATCTTCCGGAGGATTTGGTAGTGGAGATACTCTCTAGGGTTCCGTTGACTTCTTTGGCAAGATTACGATGGGCATGCAAAGGATGGAACGATCTGATCAAAGATAAGATACTTGCAAAGAAGCCGTCTCAAATCATCATGTTGATTGACTCTAGGGTTTATTTAGTGAGCGTCGATATGCATAAAATTGACAACAACAAGGTAAACCTAACAAGTCAATTTAGCCTAAAAGATCCTCTTTCTCATAATTTTTCAGAAGAAGTCGACATACAAAATCTTTCACTGCGATGGCTTATTGCTATGCACCACCAAAGACGATAGACTGGTTGTTTGGAATCCGCTTTCACGTGAAACAAGGTGGATTCAACCGAGAAGTACCTACAAAGAGTTCGAATACTTTGCTCTCGGTAAATCCTCAAGCAACAAGTACAAAATCTTGAGGATGAATCAATTTTGTGATGTTATCCCATACTTAATTGAGTTCGAAATCTATGACTTTGCCTCTAATACGTGGAGGGTTGTTGGTAAGACTACAGACTGGTTCATACAAACGTGGAAGGGCCGTGTCATGTCTGTGAATGGAAATACTTATTGGCTTGCTTGTAGTAAAGACCAAGAGGATTTCTTACAAAGTTTTGATTTTTCAACAGAGAGATTCACAAGGGTGTCTCTTCCGGGTGATCATCATTCTTATCGTGTTTTAAGCGTATCAGTGACTAGAGAAGAGCAACAACTTTGTTTGCTTACTCAGGACAAGCCGTTACACAGTACATATGCATGGAATGGAACTGCTAAGGGACCTAGAATAAATATATGGATTGCAACTAAGATTGAGAGTAAAGGAGCCGCGTCATGGATCAAGTTTCTATCATTTGATTTAGCCTATATCCACCAGCCTTTTTACTTTTGTATTGCCATGAATTTCTTGGTCGACCGGGAGAACAAAGTTTTAGTGTGTCGCGGTAAAAATGGGGTCTCCAGCAACTTCTTAAACATTTTGGGAGAAAATAAATTCATACAAGTCGATCATCAAGATGGGATATCTAAATGCTCACTTCTCGTCAATTATGTTCCAACTTTGGTTCAAATCCAACAAGGTTCTTTGCAGAAGGTAAAAGGTACTGGAGGTAGTGATTTATAATGGTCATACTAACTTAAGCTATCTATCCAACTCTTGAGATTTAAAATGATAGTTGTGTATTGCTAAGTTATACTTGTTTCCAAATAATTTCCAGTTTTTAATTACCTGCCAGTGGAATAATATAGTGTTGGTTATATCTCTTATTTAACGAGCATATATTGTGCTGATAATCAAATTATTCAAGTTTCTTTTGTATAAACCAAGACCGGTGAGGACACTTACGCTTTGTGATACATATTGAATGGTCCTGAAACTTGGACACCTTAGCTTTTGTTTCAGATTGAGCTTGAGGTCCTTTTCATATGGTTTATAGAGTTGTGACCACGATGATATTTTCTGGGTACATAATTACTCAGCAACGAAGCTTAAATAAGTTATATGTTTGCTTCCACATTTAATTTATTCTTAGATTATTAAATTAAGATGAACAATTTTAACGGAAACCTATATTATTTTTTACACAAATGAAGAAAAGAAAAAAACTTCTTTGTCTCTGATATTTTTTCCCTCCCTCTCTATATATATTTAAATCTATTTTGACAAAACAATCCATTGCTGGATACTTTTTACAACAACATGCACATACAAAAGCTGAGATCTCACCTTAAAGAAACTAATGAGATGAGTTATGTTCGTCATCTGATGACGAAGCGGAAGAAGAAGACGACGAAGAAGAAGATTGTCTTCGTCCAACGAGTCCAGGAAGAGGTTGTGGAAGCATTGGATTCACTGGTACTGGAAACTTATGAGCAGAACTAACCATTGTTCTTTCGTTTATCATCCCTACTTCTTTGCAGACTCTGTCTACTACTCCAAGGAAGTCTCTAACCACCAAGAATATTCTAAACGGATGCGCTTCTTCTTTAGCCGAGTTTCCGTGGAAATACTCTGTGATTTCTTTCACGAGAGATAACGCGACGCTCTCTTGAGCTTGTACTCTGATGATCTCTTCCTCAGCTCTTTTCAGAAACGTGTTCATCGATTCCGAAAATCTCTGACTGTTGCTTTCTTCTATGATCGTTGATTGGACTTTGATAGCTTCGTTAATCTTGGCGATCCCTTGAGAAAGCTTGGAGACGTAGCTGCTTAGTACTTCTGAGTCCATTGCAGCAGCTTTCTTAACGTTACTTAGCTCTGAACAGAGACTTGATACGACTTGGAGGCCTAGTTTCCTGCATTTGATGTCATCTGTATTGTTACCTGAGAGACGTGTGCCTTCTGCTCTGATTATCTCTTGTACAACGAAATGCAAGAGAGTTGTTTTCCCATCAGCGCCTTTGACATCGACTAGCTTGAGGAGTGTGTCAAGCTTGAACGCATGAGCATCCCCTCGGTTTGTCCCAACGTTCATACGGTTTCCTGTCTTTAGAACAGCTTCGAGAAGCTTTAAGAACATCCTGCTGTTCCTCAGTTCCTCACAAGCAGCCTACCCAAAAAATAGGAATGAGGTCACAATCCGTTACAATACAACCATTACAGTAAAAAGAGAGAGAATAGCTTGTGATATATACCTCAAGAGTCACAAAAGATTTCTTCAGATATTCAACCTCAGACTCAAAGTTAGCAACATAGAGCATCGCATCAACTCTTTTAAAGGCAAAAGGGATGTCCAGCATTGCCTTAAGGAATTTCTCAGCATGTCCAAGCTTAACGGGCGAATCATCCTTATACGCTTTCAATTTGCGTTCTTCTTCTTTTGTCGGTGCCATCTTCAGTAAGCTCTCAAGAAGTTCAGTCCCAAGTGTATCAGCATTGCCTAAAAACGTATAACAAAACATGAAGATAACCATGAATGAAGTGAAGCTTTCAGAGTATCATCGGAAAACTCTCAATCTAGCGGTCTACCATTCATTCAGGACTTCAAATTCTTAGTTCAAAATGATTCTTACTAGCTAAACAAACGCAGAAGAACTCATATTATGGAGATCAAAGGAGAAACTTTTCATGTGACAGCATAGTTTACCTTCAAGAAGAGCCTCACAAACTTCTTCTATAGTGACATTAAGTGCGCGAAGCAAGATCGCAATATTCTGAGCCTTCTTAGGGTCCAAGACTCTGTTCTCTTGGTTTGGGCTCGGGAGAACACATCTTGGAGTTGTCTGACTCTGATTTAGTTTGTTATCTAACGACTTTGCCACAAACAACGTCTCAATCATCTCTTCATCTAATCTGCAACCACATTCATAATCTCAACAACCACATTCTCACTAAGCATATAGTATCATATAAATAGAGTAAAGCATTAACTCACTTGAAAGAGCTTGATCGAAGATGATCCCAAACCATCTCACGATCCGAACTTGCTCTTACTTTATCCCAATGTAACGCCTTTAGCTTCGGTTTCGGAGTTTCCTCCGCTGGCTCACTGGCACTAACCGTCTCTGGAGTCTCCATAGGAGAAGTCACTGGTAAGTTTTCGGATGAGATCACAAAAGGATGTGAAGGCGGCGTAAGAGAAGGCGGTTTCGAGATTGGCTCCGCCTTATGAGTCACCTGATTCCGTCGTCCCCACAATGGTGGAGGAGGTGGCGGAGGCGGAGGCACTCGAGACTGTAATATTTGAGGTGAAATGTTCGAAATCCGTGGTGATACATCTAAGCTATGACTAAAATCTCTATCCGGAGATGATGCTAGAGACTGCGAATTCCGGGAAGACAACTTGGGAGATGTAACCGGTGACTTGTGAGAAGCTTTCTCCGGTGAAGAACAAACTGATGAAGAAGAAGATGACGGTGAACGAGAACGTAATGCATCTAACTGCTTAAGGAAACCTTGTCCTCCATGAGAATTTGAAGGAGAAGATAGTAACTGAGATTGCAAACCTTGCCGGAGATTACTCATAAACGCCGGTAACACCTCCGGAGATTTCTGAAAACATCTATACGGTGATGTAGAAGCAGAAGAATGCGAAGGAGACCTCAAGTAAGCTTCCGGTGTATCATTAGGTCGTCGTTCCGGCGAAGTTGAAGCAGATGATAACGGAGAGTTCTCTTTTTTGTTATTCTCCGGTGAAGCTGTGAGTGACGTAACCGTCGGAGATCTAGAGATTTGATTCAATCCTCCTTCATCGGAGTTTTTCACCGGACAAAATCCCGACGATAAAGAAGCTAACGACAGTGACGGAGACCGAACAAATCGATAATCTGTTAACTCCGCCGGAGAAATCCTTGCCGGTGGTTCTGGTGTGGTGATTACTACAGGTTTTGGTTCAGATCTTTTAGGACTCATTGAAGGAGAGATACTAATAAACGTTGATCTTCCTGGTGAACCAGAGCTTGAAGATGAGCAAGAGATAGTATCATTGTTAACAGATCTAGGGTTTTGACCCGGAACTCCGACCCGGTTTAACGGTTCTCGCCCGCTTTGTGAGCCACGTGGAGAGTAAAACTCTTCTTCTTCTTCTTCTCCGATTGAACCAACATCTGGATTTAACCGGAAACTTCGTTTCATTAATGGAGGAAGTGGTTGAAGATCTGGAGATTCAAGTTTTCTTGAGCTTGATCCATTATTACTAAGAGATTGTTCTTCAATTCCTCTTTGATTCACCATTGTTCCTAAGTAAAGAAACTCAGAGCTGTTATTTGTGGAGCTCGTCGTCGTCGTGGTCCTCTGTTTACTTCTAGCCTCCGCATTGCGTCGTGTTGGAGCAGCTGTTGCCGGAGGAGGAGGAGGGTAGACTCTACGGCTACTGTCGGTGGTGTAAGTTTTGCTATCATCGGAGAAGTTAAGATCTTGGTTGGTTCTTCTTCTTCGCCAATAGAGTAAAGCTATAAGTACAGCGACTAAAGCGGCGGAGGAGACGGCGGAGATAGCGACTATAAGGAGTTTTTTGGAGTTGGGAGGAGATTTAGTAGCGTGAGGGACGATTAGAGATGAGATATTCGCCGGAAAAGAAGCGAATGAGGCTGGTGATGGTGGTGGTGGAGATGAAGGGTATAAAGGGAAGAAAGGTGAAGTATTTGGGTCTGGAGATGGTGGAGTAGTGGAAGAGAATGGTAGCTTAGGAAGCGGTGGTGGTGATGGTGGTGACGGTGGTGGTGAATCTATAGGGAAGAATGGTTCGTGGAGGACACGACGGTCGGCGAGAACTAGATCGGAGGATAAAGATAAGAGTAAGTAGAAGAAGAAGAGCATTGTGTTTTTCTTCTTCTTCTTTGTTCTTCAAGATCTGAGAGAAGAAAAGAGAGAAACTTTAGAGGAGAGTGATGAATCCAGCTAAGATTCTGCTGGTGATGGTTCGATATTTTTGTTTTGGTTTGTTCTCTTAACTCAGTGATGGTGAGAGAGTAGGAGAGAAGAAAGCCAAAAGAGATGATGGAAAGAGAGTGGTTGATTATTATTTTTTTTACGTAGTGGGGTCCAGTTCAGACAGTAACTTATGAAGTTATGACACGTAGGATAAGACGTGGACTTTGTAATAGTCCGTGTTAAGTGTACACACTACAACACTGTGCATTGCATTGCACCGTACGCATAATGTTGAATATTAAAATGCGAGTGGATTTGTTTTTTTTTTGTTCATTAAAGGTTCGTTTTGAAGCTTTTTGAAAAGTTAGACGAAAAAGAAAAATATTATTACGGCAGTTTGACGACGTCTGTAGTAAAGAAAGAAGTATGGAAAATAAAATATTAAAATAATGTTGAGAATGAGATTTAAGGAAGTGGGTGTATTGTGCGAGAATTAGTTTATTTTAGTTTACCGACACTTGCGAAATATCAACATTCAAAAAATTTAATAAATAAATTTTAACATGAATCTGTTCTCTCTGCCAAAAACCACCACAAAAGCTTTCAACTTTTGTCAAATCACAAACAATTTTTATGAGACTTTTTTTTATAAACAATTTCATGAGACTCTGGGTTAGACAGCTAAAAGCCTAAAACTATGGAAGAATTTTTTTCCTTATTTACTCTGGGATCATATCCACAAATGAACTCATAAAAGAAAAATAGAAGTTTTCTACTAGAAAAAAAAAAAAAAAATTGATAACAAAAAACGAAATTCTTTTTAGTGATTGACTCAGATATAATGAGTAAAAAAATTATCTTCTATTATTAAACTTAGAACAAAATTCATCATGCAAATTCTATATATATATATATATATATATATATATATATATTTTAATTCTATAGATATATGTTAGTTATAACTTATAATAATTGAATCCGTAATAAATTTAAAACAAAATTATCAAGTATCGTTAGTTTAACAAGATCATAAGCGAAGCTTAGAGATCGCCGATTCAAGTGACGTTTAGGACGAAACTAATATTACATGGTATGGTTTTTGGTTTGGGGAATTACGGACTTTGATCAAAAACCTTCTGATAAATTAAAAAAAAACCTTAAAACAAAATTTGCAGACCATGAATTAAAACATATAATACGTACCATAGTTAAATCACTCAATTGGTCAATCATTATTCATTACTCAATATTAAAACCAGAAGGCAACGGCAATTTTGATCTAGCATCTAATCAACATTTTTTTTTATTAATTTTATAAGACTGTAAATTTTGTTCTTTTTCAAAACTCAGTATCATCGATATCCTTGATTTACTACAACTAGAAATTTGCAAGTGAATATCTAATATTCACATAAAATATCCAAACAATATAACATTTTCTTCAAGCATCTTCTGTACATTAAAAAGGTCTTTTCGGGTCTTCAAAAATGTCCAAATTTGTAAACCCATCTGCAAAAAGACCATTTTAAAAATTTTGTGTTTGATAAATTTCGTAATCTTAAAATGGGCAGTACACATGTTATTAATAGTTTTAAAGCATATTTTGGCAACCGGAAGACAAATCACCAAAAAATTGATGATATTGAAAATGACAGAAATAATGAATTTACCAGGACTCCAAAATTATCAAATGTAATGCAAATACTTTCTGATTCTTATAAAATTTGTGGGCCTGTGAATTTTAGGAAAATCTATAAAGTAAGCTAATAATAGTTTTTATAAAAGTTAAAAATAAAATGAGGTGCTAGATAACTATAATTGGACTAAGAAAAGGAGTAAAATAATGGTTGGTCACGTGGGAAATGTACTGAAAATATAAGAGTACGAGAGTATCAGGAAACCACCGACACACAAGAATTGAATTTTATACTTTTATGCAAAAAGACCTTATAAGTACAGTCTCACCGTTTTCTTCTTTTTAAAAAATTGTAGTTAGAAGAAAAAGGTATAAGAGTATAAATAAATAATAAGTTAAGGGATCTAATAGTAATTAACTTTTATTCTAAACTTTGAGATGAGTCTGTATATATTTGTGTAATTTCTTATTCTACGTCTAATAAAAATCGTTTAATCTTTATATGTTATTAGAGGCAAAAATTCTAAAAACCTTTAAAAAATTTTTTTTCTAGCCGTCACCATATTTTCTTCAAAAACAATGAAACAATCTTTGTGATCAACTCAAATAAATTTTCAATATATATCAGTATGTCAAACATTTCAAAGCTAACAACACAAAACTACCTCATGTGGAAACTTCAAGTTCATGCTTCTCGATGAATATAAGCTTGTCGATCACCTTAGTTAGTCCAAAGTGTTCCGCCTGCTACCGTCACCGTTGGGACAACTACTTCAACAAATCCAGATTTTACAAAAAGGCGTCGTCAAGATAAACTCATTTACAGTGCATTCATCGGCTCGATCTCTTCACCACTTGGAAAATGTTTAAGGGTGATTTTTGTGGAAGAATAATAAAAAGACTCAAGAATCCATATATATTAAGGACGATAATGTAAGAATAGCAGTATTGTTATATAAACAAAATGATATAGTGCTACGAAGGTAGAAAAGATATGATAACAAATTTAGAAACAAAATTTGAAAGTATGATAGATATAAATGATATGATACAGTGTCACGATTATATTGTTACTTATCCAAAGATAAGTCGTTCGATAGCACTTTCAAACAATTTTAAGGAAATAATCGTTCAGAATGGTTAGATATATATACTAATATAAAAATACATATAGCCACTACAAGTTTAGTGATTGAGCTTAAATATTCGTGGCTATTAACCAACATAGTCATTAATAGTTACTAAAATAAATCATGGCTATAGCGTCGTATTTTTATTATTTCATGGTTATAATTAATTACAAAATTATCATTATATATTTAATGACTATTTAACTACAATTTTGTCACCGTCATTCCGTGATGATATTGGCTACGGTCAACCCATTTAACCATCTAACCCATCAAATTAAATGAGTTCATCGGTTGACTCAACTCATTTGCTAAATGAGTTGAGTCAACCCATGAACTCATTTAACTCCAAACTCATTGGGTAATGAGTTGAGTTGGGTTGGGTTAATCATTTTGACACCCCTAGCTACGGAATATGAGTAGCAAATTTTTGATTAGGTTGTTTAAGCCACATTTTATGCAAGTAGCATGATCGTGGCTAAGTAGCCACTTACTATATTAGTGGTTTCCCCGCTAAGAATATAAATCTTGTTTTCTTGTGATTTTTGTGGCTAATCATGTATTTAACCAAAAATAAATAATTTTAATTCTAAAAACAATAACTAAATTTGAAAAGAAAAGCCAAAATTCAAAAAACATGAAATCCAATTAACAATATATTACATAACCATTGCAAATTAAATAATACAAAAGACTAACCAAATATACAAAAGAAACCTGAAAACACAATCACATATATTTAAAGACCTAGTAAAACACACCAAGCATTTAAGATCATCTCCTATGTATATCTCTGTTTTTTATTTGTATGATTTTTCTCCAATGTATCACTTCATTTCTTACTCTAAAATAGAATTAGTGTAAAAAAAAATAGAGTAAAAATAGAATTGTTCTATATATAGAGCAAACCTATCGTTTACTCTATTTTAAAATAAAATATAGAGTCAGATTGAAGAAATGTTATTCTATAACAGAGTTAAAAAATAAAATAAAGTGGAGTTGGAGTCTTGGAAATGCTCTAAGTTGCTTTGGTTTGTTGTTGTAAGAAGGATTCTCGGACTAGTTAGTTAGTTAGTTAGGTGTTTTGCAAACGTTACATTTGCGGATGAGTTTTTTTTTGTCACTATTGCGAATGGCCATAGAAGAACCTCTAAATATTTATGCAGAATTACAGGAGTTGATGGATGTTATATAATCAATTAATAATAGAAAAAAGAAGCATCTACACTGTCCTTGAAAGTTACTAATACTCTGACTTAATACAAGTATTAGAGTATTTATTGGAAGGAAACAACAAAATAAACAACGTGATCGTTTTCAAATCATATGCCATAAAACATAATGATGGACCTTTTTCTCATTAACATAATGGTTTAGCAAACATTAATGAACAACAAGTTTGACCCTTTGTGGAGATCTCGTAAGTGGTGTCATCATTATGTTTGGATTAAAAACTATGAATATATTAGCATGTGGCCACATGTAACTACAACATTTGGTGAATTGTACAATGCATTAGAGACTAGCTAAGCTTATATTTATGCAATTACTTGCAATATTTGTATGCAGTGTAGTGTATATACATATATAAGTATTTTTTTTTTTTTTTTTTTTTTTTTTTTTTTTTTTTTTTTTTTTTTTCTACATATATAAGTATTATTGAACAATAATTGTGTGCTGATTTGTTTTCTATATTATTGTTTTGTAAATAGCGATACATCCAAAGAACAAGTCTCGAAGCTCGAGATTCCATTGAACTTCTGACGTATTGGATTGAAATATAGACATAGGATATTACTAGCGATGATTTTGAAAATAATTTAAAATATGTTTGGAAAGCAAAGCATGTATTTTGTGAAATCAAGTATTTTGTAAACTATCAAAATTTGTCTATAAAATGAATCCCGTAAAACTCGAAAGAAAAATATACTTCAGAATTTTTAAATCTCCATCAATTAACTCTTGAATTGACAAGGAAAAATCATTAAAGATTGATTTTTGTCTCCCCTTTTACTTTATAGAGCGATTCTAAGTGCCTAGTGGGTGCAATAGACCAGCAAACATCAAGTAAATGAATCAAGATAGATATGAGAAATTGAGACTTCTCTTCTGTCCAAGACCAATAGTCTTGGTCCATGAAGCCAGTGAAAGAAGAGCCACAATGACAAATCATTGGCGCGAGCGAGAAGAGATTGCTCTAATACTATGATCGATTGCTTTGATATCATATTTGAAAAAAAATCATTACTACTCTTAATCTGTAAACATTAATTATTTAAACTACGCGGTATACTTTTTGTGATCTATTCGTAGAAGATATTTCGAGAGATTTACTCTGTTTTGGTCTTATACAAGTTATTTTTTGAAGATTTTTAGAATGCTGTTATGTGCTTTCTTGAGTTTTAGAAGTCAAAGAAGAATGAAAAAAAAAAAATATAGATTATGTTTTATGTTTAGAAACAGTTTTTGTAGTGAAATATGCGTTGTAATAAAAACATTAAATATTACTCCTTCTGTTTCACAAAGAGTGTCATTTTAGAGTTTTGCACACAGATTAAGAAAACATTAAGGGGATGATTGGTAGTGGCTGTAGAAACTTTCCACAGCCAAAAATATTCCTACAGCACTATAACATAACCAATCATGCTTTACATGTTATTTAAAAAGCCACAGCCCAAACTTTAGAAAATCTTGTTTTTTGGCTGTACGTATTAAAATTTCCACAGCTCGAGAATAAGGGCTGTGAACTTTTTATCTTTCCTTTATTTATTTTCTTTTAATTTCTTTCCTAGTTTGTGTTTTGTATTAAACATTATAACTATATAATTAATATATGTACATAATTCTATATAGCACATATTAACATATACAAATGACATATACTAATAAATAATTCTATATATACTAATTATTTTTTTATTTGACACATTAATTTTATCAATAGTTTTAGGATATTTCAATTTCCCCAACTTTTATTGAATACAATTTAGTATCCAATAAGTACATTTTCCAACATATATATTATTTAATAAAAAATAATTTGTAATTGTTATAAATTTTATATTTGTATTTTTAGTTAATATTATCTTTAATATATATATATAGAATTATTAATATTTAATATACATTTAAAATTTATCAATCACAATCATGTTTTTCATTTTTGAAAATCTACAGCTAGATTTACCAATCATGCTTTTATTTCTAAAAAGTCACAGCCAAAATTCTAAAGCTACAGCAGAAAAATCTACAGCCTAAATTCTACAGCTAAAAATCTAAAGCTACAGCCGTATCCAATCAGGCCCTAAATTTTTTGTTTTTTCTAAACAAAAACATCATTAACTATATACCTAAACATAATCTGCCCAATAGTAAAACAATATGCAGAATACTAATAGTCATAAAACATAAAAAATCATTAAATTTTGCATTGAAAACCTAAAACGACACTCTTTGTGAAACAAAAATAAAACCTTAAAACGACACTCTTTATGAAACGGAGGGAGTATTCTGTAATTTAAGATACTGACTGTTAGTTTCTAAATCTATGGAAAATAACACTTAAAATACATAATTTTACAAAACCATCAAATGAAATTTTAAATTTTGGGACCCTTAAATATACATAATATTATAGTTCATAAGGCAAATGCATTTTAGTTTTGTAATTAGGCACTCATTGTTATCTTCGTGGCTAATTAAGCTCTCTTCATCAACAACTACATGAATGTGTTTTTTTTTTTGGACAAACAACTACATGAATGTGTTATGTTGTCACATTTGCTCGTCAAAGTTTTTTTGTGTCAAAAATTTTGGAGAATAAGGTCAAAACACATCGGCATCCAAAGAACAATTCTCGAAGCTCGAGATTCCACTGAACTTCTGACATATTAGTTTAAATATATAGTTTAGAGATAAGCTTTTACTAGTGAAGATTTTTAAAATCATTACTACTAACTAGTCTACTACTAATTTGTTTTTTTATTCCTTATGAATTTACATAATAAAGACTACTCCGAGTATTATTAAATAAATCAAGTGGAATCCACCATGACTCGCATAACTCTTTTTGCATTCTTGTACCTTAACACATTTCACTTTACTTTGATCTGAGAACTGTAAGAAATTGAGAAGTTAAGTTTAATGTTTGTCATCCTCTGGATGCTTCTCTAATAACTTTGGTTTCAATGTTTGTCTCAGATCTCGATGTCTCGATCGTTATGTAAGTTCTCCATAGGTTAACACCGCCCGGTTGTTACTAGTCTGGATGATGCGTTCTCTAGCTTCTTTATTCAGTTCGAAGCAATTTGCAAAAGTTGAGACTGTCATTATTTAAATTGTGAAAAGAATAACTTAGTCTCCCCAGAGACTCACAATTTTCTACATCTATGATAAAAGAATCTGGAATATATATATGGCCAACTTTGATTCTCTATATGAATCCTTAATTTGTTGCTTATTCAAGAAGTACTCTATACACTTATTCAAGATCATGCCATACAGTTTTGTGTTTCTTTTCTTTTACAATAGATCTTGTTCTGTCATTTGTGGTTCTTTTGGGACACCAAATATCACATTAAACAAGTTCATTGAGTGAATCGAAAATAGCTTAAAGAAACTTGATCTAGTAAATTAAAGTCGATATAGTATTCTACCAGTAGAGTGGATTCAATATTAGTTAATTCGATTAGGCTGGAATAACCAAACATTAATACAAAAAAAACTTACACAAGTAAAAATCAACATATCAACAAATCAAATCAAAGTTATATTTTATATGAAAATGGGATTTCTTTTTAAAACCCCCATAGAAACCTCTCAAGCTCTCCCCATAGCTCTCTAAAAAGCATGAAGAAGCCATGAAGTATGTTGGAGGAAGGATCAATAGTAGCATTTTAGAGAGTCATGAAATATGAAAAAAACACAACAATGTGAGATTACTTATTGGGCTCTCTGATGGGTTTCTAATAACAATTTCACCCACTTTCAAAAAGCTCTGCAGTTGAGATTTTCTATCAGAATTATCAAATCTTTTTTCAGAAATTGAAGAACATATCAATTTCAACTTTCTTTATTATTTTTTCACAGGCGATTTGGTAATCAGAGATTTGATTAGAGCAGTGACAATAGCAAACTACATAAGAACGAACTATTGACATGCAAGTTCCTGAAAAATAATGATGGGGATAATAATATCTTAAAAGAAAATGTATCCTCAAAATCAAAATCTTCGAACACAATTAAAATGTGAACACAAAAGCAAAGTGTTTTAGTCTGAAAACAGAAAATTTGAGGCATTAAGCTCAAAAGATAAAAAGCTACAAGAGGCATAAGATATAGAAGGCTTGACTGATTTACTCTTCATCATCCTCATCATCATCATCACCACCAGCTCCATTCAATGCCTTGACTCTCTCGATTAACTTGTTCTTCCTCTCCTCGTAAGTCAGTTTCTTCAAGTTGTACCTGTTTTGTTTAAATAACACAATCAATCAAAAAACACCAAGTGAGATAACAATACACCAATGAGCCAGTACTAAAGATGACTAATAAAATTGCTTGTTTCTTTACCTCTTGTGTTGCTTGGGGGCAGGTTTCTCGGTTTTCTTAGGGTTGGGGTCTGCGCGAATAGCTGCGTGAACCTTCTTGTACAACTCTTCGATGCTCTCAGCTTCAACTCCTTTCTTGATGTATGCACTGAAGTGAGTTTGTAGCTTCTCTGGTTCATCTTCTCCCAACAGCTTCATGTAGTTTGAAACATGGCCACCATAGATGTAGTTCCTGTGGATTTCAGCATCAAGTTGCTTGTTCTCCTTGTTGAACCCAGCAAATCTCTTGTCACTGTGAGGGATATCAAGACCTCCATCCAAAGCACCCTACAGATTCAAGAAGCAAACCAAAAGGATATTAGAGAAATGCCAGTATAATCATTTGCTCAAGAATTACAAATGATAAGAACACTCCCAACATATTAAATAAGAGAACAATTTAATACCTTAAGGGCACCGAACACTCGGTTTCCTGTTGTGGTCCTGATAAGTCCGACATCAAGAAGAGCACGGAAAGGCCTCCTTGACTCAGTTGGCTCAATGGAAAAGTCCTCTCCAGTGGCCTGATTCATTGTATGATTTGAGTATTTTAACAAGAGAAAAAAACTCAAGTTTTTATTTTTCAAATGAAACCAATCCCACAACAAACCTCTACGTTGCCCTCATACTCGTCATCCATTTCCAACATCTTCAGAACACGGCGAGCCAAAAGAAGGCCAGTACAGTAAGCTGGTTCAACAAAAACAATATTTCACATAAGTAACCCATAAACACAGAATCAACCATATAAAATTGGAAAACAAAAGCATAAGACTAATTCAATACCTGCAGCATAGTTTGTAAGACCAACAGTGAGACCATACTGAGGCAACTCATGTGCGTAAGCAGAAGCTTTAACAATGTCACCAGCAATGCTTGCAGAGACAATCTGTGCCACTATATCTTTGTTGGTAAACCGGACAACAAAACGGTACTTAGGTGTATTGTACTTGTTCTTGTCTTGATTGATAAGACGGATCCTTGCCCTGTAATCAGTCTTCCCATCTACACAAAAATGAAAGAACTTTCAGAAACAGATAGAAACAAAGAGAGACCAAACAATATCATCAGGAACACGAAATCAAGAATCAAGTACCTCTTCTTCTCCTGAACTTAACTTGGTACCTCTTGAAGTAAGCATTCGACTTGGAGGACTTCACAAACACCTAACAACAACAACAACAACAAATCATCCTATTTTATTAGTCTAAGATCCAACAATATAACTGTTCTTTCGAAGGTAACAAAGATCTAAGATAAAAAAGCTCCATTGAAACGCATCAGGTGACCTCTAAAACAGAACAAAAACCAAAGTCTCAAACTTTTCCTATTCAAATTCTCAAGCAAGTTATAAAACTAAGAACCCATGAAGAAAAACATCTATGAAGCTGGATACAACGAAAGGATCGTGAATTCTCGTTACAATATCTAAACAAAAGAAATGCAGGAGATTTCTACACGAAATGAAGATAAAAATCTGATTCTTTTAAGAGAAATATAAGTTAAAACCATGGAGAAATGAAAAGAGATAGAGAGATTAAAGGTAGGGTTTACCATTGTTTGATTCCTCTAGCAACGAGAGGCTTTGCCTGTGAGATTGAGAGTGACGAGAAGACGAGAGGCGGAATGACCTAAATGCGACATCTTATAAGACAAAACCCTAGAAAACTCCTCTTGGGCTGAAAAATGTTTAATGGGCTTGACTTGTTATATTACTAATGGGCCCTTGGGCTTTATAGGTAAATTTCTTTACTCTACCCATTTTATAGCTTAATCCGTTTTTACGCTTTAGAGGTAAGTGTGAAAAGTTACACAATCCAACGAAATTCTACCTCTATTTCACACAAAAATATTTTAAATGACTAAATATAAATTAAAATTTTTGCTCTATTTTGATTTTGTTGGTTCTGTTTGCTTAGCGTATGGATCATTCAATTTGAGTGAGCCAACCATAAAGTGATTTCAGATGGATTGTGGTTAAGACTTTTTATTTGGTGAAGGATTTTAAATGTGTTTTGGCCAAATGAGTAAATCTCTGTTTGGGAAGATAACAATCATTTCAGTAACTCAGCTATTCCAAATGAGTGGATCGTTTTCAACAGTTTGCTATTCGCGGGAGAATTTCACAGCTTCAATCACCGCAGAGAAGTCGAGATCTCCCAGTCCCAAGCTTCTGGCCTTCTTAAAAGCCTGTCGAAAACAGAAACATATGTCTTAAGATTCATGCTAAGAAAACAATCTAGAGGAGAAGCAATCTGTTCTTATCTCTGAGTAACTGACCTCGTTTGCAGCCGCGGCTACAGGCATGGAAACAGCATTTTCATCACCAAGAGCAAGAGCTAGCCTCATGTCTTTCTGCTGATGTTTCAGTGGAAATGCTGGTGGGTAACTGCTCTTATTCATGGAAGGTCCTTTGCCCTTGAACATCGGGTTGGTCATTGCGCCCAGATCCTGCCCATAGCAAAACCGATTCAACCAACACCATTATTTCAGAGCTTGCAAAGTTTGATCATCTCACCAGAATATCCAGAAGAGTGTCAGAGCTAAGTCCACTCTTGTCAGCCAATACAAGCCCTTCGGAGAACGCGTTCATCATGCTGTATCAGACGAAAAACAATAGTATCAATGAGGTCCATTGTAGTAATCGTGAAAGAGACGGACATTTACCTTCCCATTATCATGTTCACTATTAGCTTCATTTTAGCTCCGTTTCCAACTTGTCCCAAGAAAAACGATCTCTTCCCCAAGACGTCAAAAGCTGGGATTGATTCCTCAAAGAGCGCCTTACAAAAAAAGATTTAAACACAAACGAATTATAGCAGCATATCGAGAGTTCCTACTAAGTCCAACTGAAACGGTTCTTGAGATCTATCAATCTATCCAGAAGTATAGTTTTGAGTTGTACCTTGTCACCAGCAACAAGGATAATGAGTTGGCCATCTTCAGCTGGCTTTTTGCTACCTGAAACCGGACCTTCTACGAACCGACCACCCTTCCCGGTGATTGCCTGCCAATATCCATCACAGCTAAATCAAACTAATCAACCTCTTCTTAATCTAATCATCATCATCTAAAGTCCAAAGCTTTCAACCTCATTGATCTTTAAAGAAGTCTCTGCATCAACAGTCGACATATCGATATAACCTTTTCCTTCACAAATCTGCTCCAAAACACCGCCTTTATCGAAAACAACCTAATCAAACAACCGGAAATTGTAACTATTTTCAATACTTCATATCATTCATCACCAATGAGTAGCAAAAAGGATTCAAATACCGAAAGAGCAGCACAAGGATCAGAGAGCATAGCAATAGTGTATTTGCATTTTTTGATTACTTCAGCTGGACTCTCACATACTGAAGCACCATGCTCCACAAGCTCATCACACTGTCACAATCATCAAAAATTTGCATAAAATTAATCAAAGTTTCCAACTTTATCAGATCTGAACAACTAAAACTAAATCAGACAAACCATTATCCATTAACACAATCAAAAGCAGAAAATTTGGTTTACCTTGGAGAGTGTTCTGTTCCATACAGTGACTTTGAATCCATGTTTCAATAGATTCATTGACATGGCTTTTCCCATGATACCCAAACCCAGAAACCCTACCTCCATTTTTTCTATCTCTCTCTGCGATAATAGTGCTTAGTGATGGTCTGAGAATGATAAAGCCGGAGCCTTTTTCTAATCAGAGAACCATTATCATCAAATGCTTCATTCAAAAGAAGGTATTTACAATTTACTCCCTTAAGTTTGATTCTTTTTGCATCTCTAACTGGCAGCTTAAGAACGAACAGGATTTCGCCACGTGGATGAAGTTGGCTAAACTCCACTGTTGTAGGAATCTTATTTTTCTAATGCTCAGTGTTTTTACTCCAGTCGGGCACGTGCGAAAGATCTCAATCAAATTTATTTGCGGAGTACCACCTCGAAGTTATAAGGAAATTATTCGTTTTGTCTAATATTTTTATAAAGTTTCAATTTAGTCCATCATTCTAATCTAAGAGCATGGGCAGTGGGGCAAGCAGGTGGGTGTGAGTCTTGGGGTTGTAGGTATTAAAAAAACGAAAAATTGTCTCTCTCTTCACACCCGGGTGTAAGTTTACACTCGGGTGTAACACTTTTTCTCTCTATCTCTCTCTTTCTTTCTCTTTCTCTTTTCTCTTTTGCTTTAAATTATAATACTAAAAAAATACTTACACCCACACAAACACATTTGCCAATTGCTGATGGTCTAATGGCTTCTTTTCTATTCTCGTGCGCTTACAATGGGAAGATCAATAGCAAATTATAAATTAATACTCCCTCCGTATTTTAATAAGTGTCGTTTTAGAATTTTTATTTTTTGAATTGGATGTCGTTTTCAAATTTCTATGCAAAATTTATTACTTTTTAATGTTTTATGACATCATAAAACATTAAAAAGTAAGAAATTTTGCATAGAAATTTGAAAACGACATCTAATTTAAAAAAAAAAAAAAAATCATAAAACGACACTTATTAAAATACGGAGGGAGTATATTATTACCAAGTTTATATCATTATATGCGATAGACGTCCTTGTATCATGGTAAACATAACTATTGTATGTATGCCTATGTATTGTATAATTTGTATGCCTATGTATTGTGGTGAATAAAAAAAGTAACGACGACTACGGACATATTTCCTATGGTTTACTCGACTTGGGAATATAAGCGCAGAACTTTGAGCACACTTAGTAATAAAGTGTATCAAGGGCTAAATGATAATGATAAGATTAAAACAATTACGGTTCTAGTAAAATATAGGGTTTTGATTATGAAAATTTGATGATTCTGATTATTTATCAAAGCTACACTATGGTATACGGAATTACGGATGACATTTCTTAACTACAAGTAAACATAGGTTGGGTTTTTTTTTCCTATAATATTACGAATTTTTCTGTTTTAAAATCTTTTTTTTTGTTTTAAGGTTAATCTGTTTTTAAAAAAAAAATCAATAAAAATACTGTTTGTCTTTGGACTTTGGAAGTATTTTGGGAATGAAGTGTCTATTTTTTTTTTTTGTTATGTTACTTTTTTTTTTTTTGCCAATTTTTGTTATGTTACTAAAATATGTTATATCTCTTTTTTTGTGTGTGTGGTTGGCAACTCTTAGGCTCAGCCTTTTTCACATTTCTCTCTTGTTTTATTTGCTTTGCTTTTGGTCCACTAAAAACATTAGTCTTGAGTTTGAGGCAAAAGATGGAGAAAAACTGAGATTTTGAGAATAACGAATCTTGTTATCGTTGAAGAAACTCAATTACAGTTTCTGTTTCTTCCTGAATATGGCAGCAATAGCAGGAGGGTCATTTGGAGTCCCAAGCTCTCGTATCTCTATAACCACTCCAACTCTCTCTTCCTCTTCTTTGCTTCCACCACTAACATTGGTCTGTAATAATGTCTTCACATTTCCATGGAGTTTGTATCTCATTTGAATTGACTCTGTATGATTCGTCTTTTCTTGCAGCAATCAGGTAACAAAAAGGACAACCAATTACGGTGTGCCGTGCAAGAGTCTTCCACTTCTGCTGGTAAAGATTGATGCATAAAACAGAATGTTTGGTTCAAAAACACACAAGAGAATATAACTTTCTTGTTCTCTTCCTAGTCACTACTGAGAAGAAAGACAACGAAGACAAAAATGAGTCAACAGTGGCGATTCCGGCAAAGAAACCTAAGCCCGCAGCTGCGAAAGCAGCTGTAGTGGCGAAACCGCTGAGACAAATGATGGAAGAAGACGTGATTCCTCCTTTAAAAGCCATTCTTGAATCTCAAGACGATATCTCTGAGATCGATTTATCTTACCAAGACGATAAGGTTTCTTGATTCTAACTTTTTATTTTTTGTTTTTTCATTGAATTATGGGGCCATGCTTATCTATACTCTATCGCTCCAATTTTATCGGATGTCCTCGAAATGACTTCTTGATTCTAACTTGTAAGACAATTATCATTGATTCATATCTCTAACTAACTTGTGTTATTTGAGCCAGTTGGAAGGTTATTTCTTGAAGAAAAGTATTCCATATTCCTTTTGGGCCTTCTTCCCTACTGGAAACCTTACAGGTAAATGATTGAATCTTTTTCTTCAGCTTCTTGTTAAAAAATATTTCAATGTAACATTATGTCTTTGGTTTGTGTTTCTTAAAACAGGAGCAAAAGGATTTTCAATTTCCTCACACGGGTCAGGTCCGAGCACCGTGGAGCCCTTTCTAGTCGACGAGAGGAAACCAACCGCAAACCACGTTGTGTTTTGGGTCGAGAAGCGTCTTGCTGCACAAGGGATTATCCCTGTTTGGAACCAGTGAGGTTTTTATTCACTTGTAATTATTACATTTATATACCAAAAATTGAAGAAAACTTAAAAATCCTTCAGTCTCAAAAATGGATTAAGAAACACATAGCCAATGTCTAGTTAGAGCTCTTAAACATGGCCTACAAATATAGATATATAAACATCTTTTAGCATAAGGCATACAAATAGTTTGAGATAACTATGAGAACCATCATTTGTTTAAGCCAATCTATTTTCAGTTGAGACTATTCTCTTCCTAGCCTTCTCAGCCTGCAAAATCATAGAATGTAGAAGTGTAAAAAAGAGAATAGAATGTAGAAGTGTAATAAAACTGAAGTGGCTATATATAATCTTCTATTTTACCTGTTCCTTCCAATTTATGGAAGCTGTGACGATAGCGAGTATAGTAGCTTGTACAGTGGATCCAACCACAACACCGCACCATAGTCCTTTTCCGTTCAACTCACGACTGAAAGCTAAGTAAATTCCAACAGGAGCTCCTACGAGATAATAAGAAACAGTATTGTTCCAAGCTCCAATGTGTTGCCAACCACTTCCTCTAGCAACCCCATTAAGAACTGCTGTGAAGCCGTCGAGGATGAAAGAGAGACAGAGCAAAGGAGTCAGGTCAGCGACATAGTCCAAAACTTCTTTGCTGTTGCTGAATGCGTAGCCTATGATGTTCCTGAAGGCGAAGAGAAGTATGCTAAAGAAAGCTGATTCTACTATCCAGAGACAAAGCCCTGCTAATACTGAAACCCTAGCAACTTGAGGATTCCCAGCTCCCAAATTGTTTGATACACGTGTGCTGCAAGAAACCAATCACTAAATGTTTAGGGAAGGATTGTCCATAGTAAGATGAAGATGTTCTGAATGATAGAATTGAGATCATACCTCACAGCTGCGGCGACTCCAGCTGCAATCACATAGTGCAAAGTTTCTATTGTAAGACTGAAAAGAAGAAAATAGGATTAATACTTTTAAATAAAGAGGATACAAAAGATGAAAAGAAGTCTTTGTATATTATTTACCATATGGAAAGAACAGAGGTCTCGAGTTTCGGGTTAGGGAGAAGACCTGAGCAGAGTATGAGTATCTCAAATAGCCACCATTCTAGGCTATAAAAAGAAAACAGAGAAAATGCAAGCGAGCTATATAAGAAGAAGCATTAGGGTATGTAACTTGACGGACAAACAACTTAAAATAACTTACCAAATCATTGCAGCTGATGGGATTCCGTATTGGAAGAACTGCTTGATAGAAGACACAAAATTTTCGGATACAAATCCGCGAGTCTTCTCGCAAGAGCTGGAGAATTTCACATAACATGAGAGTATCACAGCATAAAACCAGAAAGATACACTAGTAGCCATGGCAGGTCCATTACTTCCCAGACCAAACAAGAAAACCAAAGTCCAACAAACAAAAACGTGGAACAAAAGGGTCGTCACGGCAGTGAAGAGCAGAGGAAGAACCAACCCTTGTGTCAGCAGAAACCGGGACAGTGGTATGACAATCGCTTGGGCGAATAAAGTCGGTATGAGCCAAAAGGCGTAGGAGCCAGCGATTCTTGAAATTTCAGGGTCTTGTCCTAGAGAAATCAAGATCTTTTCAATGTAAAGCCAGAGAATTGATATGAGGAAACAAATTGTTATGTTGGAAGCAATTGCAGAGTATGCGTAAGTTCCGATTTTGTCGTATTGTTTGGCTCCATAAGCTTGGCCACAAAGAGTTTCAAGTGCACCCACTAATCCACACTGCAAAAATAATTGAAGCGTTTTCAATACTTGAGAGTAAATTGGATTCCTGAATTGAAGAAGTGAGAGTCATAGCATAATTAATTACCATAATGCTGAAACCGGTGACGTTTGTGAAGGAGGTTGCAAGAGCCACACCGGAGAGCTGGAGCTCGCCGTTGTGGCCAGCAACCATGACTGAAATGACAGGCAATAAGTACTGAGCAATGGTCACGGTGGCCATAGGAGCGGCCAAGCGGCTCAGTTTCTTTAGCTCGACGGTTAATTGATTTGTTTGCCATGTGACTTGAGAGGGGACTAGAAGCTCGTCTCTTGGAAGAAATGGCTCCTCCATTGTTATCTTTCTAATGTTTTAGGCCTTGCCTTGGATTTAAAGATGATATTATATCTTTATAGACCGAATAAGTCAATAAACAACAAAGGCAACTGGAACTACAAACGTGGTGACGAAGTAGATATAAGAATAGTAGTAAGATAGCAAATTCGTTTTTGACTTGTTTGAAAATATAGATACTAGTGGCACACAAATATATGTTATAGAATTGGAGATAGAATATATATACATATTGAAAATGACATGACTCTAGTGTTAATACTGTTTAATGCTTTATATCAAGAACATATGTGAAGACTAATATGAATTTTCAAATTGAAATTATATTATTATGTTTTGCAGAGAGTTTGAAAATTCAATCTTGTGTTAATTACTTTTGTGGATTTTAAATTTTTTAAAAGTAATTTTCGATAATCTTAAGACTTTTCTTAACGTTACAAAAACTTCAATGGTGAAAAAATAGTAATAGTGTTGATTCATGTTGGCACTGACTTGTTTATTATACATGTTTGCTGGAAAAAGTTACGAGGTTAGAGATAACTACCATTTTTGATGGACCAGACGTAGCAAAGATCAATTCAATAAAGTTAATTAAGCACCAAATCAATATTTGGCGAATCTTTTTACAGTCATTTGCTTAGCTTAAGTTTTGATTCTTTAGACCAATTTTAAGGACATTTGGATTTGATTTTACAAAGGCTTTAGGAAATAATTTGTGGTTGAAAATAGAAGTGTTAGCCACTGTCAAATAGAATCCAAAGTTTCGTCAGAGATTTGTCGTGAAGGTTCGAGTTTCAAAATCTCTCGGAAATGGTTCACGAGAAGTTATATTGGTAGAAGATTGCGGTTATAGTCACAAAGACTAGGAAATAAATTTTTTGGGAATGACTATAAAATTTAAGGGGAATTGTAAGAATGACTTGTGAACAGATTAGAAAAAATGTTTTTGGATAAATGATGATTATACCCTTACAAGTTACAACATCGTGAAAAAGATATATAGGCTGAGAAAAAATCATCTAACATAGTGAAAACTGAAAATATGTATCTGTTTTTCGAGTAATTTATATTATTTAACTAAAGTACATTGATAGGTTGAAGAAGATCTATTTTTTGCAAAGGCATGCATTTTCCTCATTTTATTTGGTCATATGATCATTAATTTAATTTTTATTTTCAAATACACAACTATTATGTTTTTTTTTTTTACATCTTTGGATCGACAAGGCCCTATCCATAGCCAATTCCTACTACGCGGAGTAACGCGGCTTAGTGGAGTCGAACTTCGGTGGGGAAGGCAGAGTCAAATGGACTTAACCACTTGACTAAATGCATATCCCCGAAAAAAGAAAACATATTATGTTAATTTTAAACAGATTCAAGAACTTTAATGTTTTATGATTTGTCAAATAGCCAAAACTGAAAAAAAAAAATTTTGGGGGTAGTTTTTTTGTGGGTTTTTGCCTTTTGGTTAATCATAATGACAGTTTGGTTAATACTATAGTTTATTTTAGCAAGGGTGATATGAGTTTTCCCCCACATACAGTATTTGTCTTCTTCTAGTTATCTCATTTGGAAGGTGTAGTTAACTAATATAACGAAAGAACAATGTCATTTTAAGTAATTTCCCTAAGAAAAATCATACATATAAATTATTTTTTAGAAGATTTTTTAACACATCAAATACACCATATATGAAATTTTTGCTCAAGACCTACAAAAATAGTTTGAGATAGCTCTCAGAATTCAGAAACACCCTTCTTCTAAGCCAATCTATTTTCAGTCGAGACTATTCTCTTCCTAGCCTTCTCAGCCTGCAAATCATAGATTCCAAATTCCAATTACTTCATAGCATTAAAGAAGAAGAAAAAGAATGTACAAGTGTAATAAGCTGAAATGGCTAATCTTCTATTAAGCGTTTTACCTGTTCCTTCCAATTTATGGAACCTGTGACAAAAGACAGTATAATGGCTTGCACAAACACCGCAAAACCATGAATTTGTTTGCTTAACAAAGAAAAAAAATGATCCAAGCTTTGAGCAAGAAAGGGTACATGAAAGAAAGTACTTGAGATCTGATTCAGAACCAACATAAGGAAATGTGATTTTACATATAAAGTGTGATGTATCGTTCTCTCAGAGACATTCTAACAAAGAGTTGGTAGACAAAGTGAGAACCCATCATTTCAGAAGAGAACAAGAGAAGTCACAATCAGTTTTGGATCCATCGTTTGCTCTAAAAATGATCTAGAAAGCATGTAGACCACAAGAAATGGATAAGGGTAGATTCAAAACCTAATCTAATCTACCTAAAGAACCATGAAGAAATCTATAAACAATCGCAGCGATTATAATCATAAAGAGGCTAAAGACTACTTCCTTTAAACGGAGGCGAGAAGATTCCAAGATCGGAAAAATGTAGAAAAGAAAGAACCTTTTGAGGACGGATTGACTATCGACGGTCTTAGTCGGAGGAGCAGGTTGCTTTGATCCGGTGGCTACCGGCGTAGTCGCCGCCGGAGTATTTCCTGTGTATCAATTTACCGTCGCCATCCTTTTTCGCCTCTTCTAATTGAACAAACCAACAATCGTAGTCGAAATTTCTGGAATTGAAATGCTTTTGATCGAGGAGAATCAGATTCAAGAATGATCAAAATTGAAGAAGGCCCTGTTCGTTTCTCCATTCAGATGGATCATCTGGATGGAGATGAAAAATGATGTTCGTTTTTTACAATTTAACAGATCATTTGGATGAATTAGTTGGATGGATCATCTGAATGAGTTTGTAATTTTAGGCAAATTTTTCAAACTTATCTGGATGAACATGATTGGAGCATTTGGATGGAGATGATTCAGTCAAAAATAACAAATGACAAATATAACATCATTTATAATCATAAATCAAATAATGTTTATTTTCCATAGATTTTTCATTTTATATTCTAAAAATTACATATTTTCACCAAATAAAATTTCTAAAAATCGTGAAATCAATGATTATCATTTTTCGTCAAAATCATAAAATCGCGGAATTGTGTTTTTTCCCGCCAAAAAGTGAAATCGTGATTTTTGATAGAAAATTATGGAATTCATCAAAACCGCAAAATCATATTTTCTCGCCAAAAGTGCAAAATCATATTTTCCCGCCAAAACTATAAAATCACGATTTTGGCGGGAAAATTACGGAATTCTGTTTTCCCGCCAAAACAAAAAATATTGAAGAATTGTGTTTTCCACCAAAACCGTAAAATCATATTTTCCCGCCAAAACTATAAAATCACGATTTTGGCGGGAAAATTACGGAATTCTGTTTTCCCGCCAAAACAAAAAATATTGAAGAATTGTGTTTTCCACCAAAACCGTAAAATCATATTTTCCCGCCAAAACTATAAAATCACGATTTTGGCGGGAAAATTACGGAATTCTGTCTTCCCACCAAAACCGAAAAAATTGAGGAATTGTGTTTTCTCGCCAAAACCGTAAAATCATATTTTTCCACCAAAATCACCAAAACATAATTATCCACCAAAAAATTGTAAAAATTATGTTTTCCCGCCTAAATTGCGGAATTATATTTTCCCGCCAAAATCGAAAAATTATGTTTTTCCGCCAAAATTGCGGAATCATTTTTCTCACCAAAATTGCAAAATCATGTTTTCCCGCCAAAACCGCAAAATAACATTTTCCCGCCAAAAATTGCAAAATTATGTTTTCCCGCCAAAATCGCAAAATTATGTTTTCCGCCTAAACCGTAAAATTATCTTTTTTCGTCAAAACCGTAAACTTAATTTATATGTTAAAATAATAATTTAAAAATTATTTAGATGAAAATATATTTTAGAGCAATAATTAAATTAATATAGCTTAGATTAAGATTTAAAAGATAAATAAATTAAAGTATGAGTATTTTAGTCATTTTTTTGTTAAAGTCATCTAGATGGAGATAAAGATTTGTAAAAAATTAAACAAACAAACAAAAATTCATTCAAATGTTTCATCCAAATGAACATCCAAAAATTGAAACGAACAACATTCAGATGGAGCATTTGGATGGAACATTTAAATGGACCATTTGGATGGAAATGGTTAATGATGAAACGAACGGACCCCAAGTATACTCTGCGTAATAATATTTGCTACATGAACTAAACGTTAACGGTTGTTACTTGTTAGTAAGAATGTTAAATGGATTATCCAGATCCAAATGGGCATGTCTAAATGGTCATTTACGTTTTTTGAACATTGATGGTAAAAATCCAAATAAGACCAAAACTAACTGTATCTGTTGGCATGGTCCAAATAATACATGAACACAATTACACAAGAAAACCGTAAAATCATGTTTTCCGCCAAAACAGAAAATCTCGTTTTTCCGTCAAAACCGTAAAATCTAAATTTTCAACTAAAACCGTGAAATCAGAGTTTCTTGCCAAAACTGCAAAAGCACATTTTCTGTCAAAATCGAACAATTGTGTTTTCCGTCAAATCGTAAAATTTGATTTTTCCGCCAAAACTTTAAAATATTTATTAATCTTGTCAAAACCACAAATTGTGGTTTTGACGGGAAATCACATTTTTCTTGGAAAATGAAAAATCATATTTTTGGCAGGAAAAGACATAATCACGTTATTGACGTGAAAATTTCACTAAGAAAATACGAGGAATCAAAACTAAAGAAGAATCACTGAGAGAATCAACATCATACATTTTTGCATTTGCCAAAAAGAATAAAGTAATTAGACGAAACCCTAATTTTTAAAGAAATGAGTAAGACAATATTTTCCCCCAAATTAAGAAACTCTATTTTTTATGATTTATTGGATGGTCAATCTCTAGATGAATTCGCTCCAAATTGATTTTTACCACATATAAACCGCTTCAATATTAGGTGTAACCATAACCGAACCATTAAAATTTGGACTGGTCTAGCCTATGGTCATGAGGATCATTTGACATTTCTAGTCGTTAGCCCCTCTATTTAATTTTCCGTCTCGTTTTTCAAATCGGACAGGGGTATTAAATATGGTGTGGGCGAGCATTTGCATCAAGTACATTAGTGGTGTAAGGAGCAATAACAAAATGATACAACAATTTCAAACTTCAAATAAATGATGGTTACATCCCATACAACAAAAGTTACAAAACCTTATTAAATGCTGAAATGAAGATTGACGACTCCATCGCTGCTTTCTCTTTGGCTCTAGCTTTCCTTATCGCTCTTTACATGAGAAACATGGTTACACCCCATTCTATGTATTTCGTTATTACCATAACATTGCTTTTCAGTGGGATTTTTGAATCTTGTAATACCACGAAGCTCCACGATGTTGAAGGTTCTACTCTTTTACTTAGTTTTTTTTATACAAAATATTTTTATGGCTAGCTTCTTTGATTATAACTATGAATTTTAATCCAAATTTTGGTGTATGATGATGATAATGGTTGAAATTGGGAAGTGAGAGCATTGAAGGAGATAGGAAAGAAGATGAAGAAAAAAGATTGGGACTTTAGCAAAGATCCATGCAGTGGAAAAGGGAATTGGATTGTAAACACTAATCCACTTATAAATAGCACCCTCACCTGTGATTGTTCTTTTCATCATCCCAACTCATCGTGTCACGTTATCACAATGTAAGTTTTTTTTTTTTTTAACCACTTCCTACTTTAATTATTATAAAACTATTCTTTCTTATAATAGTGTTCGTTCATCCATCTTGGATTTCACTGAGTCAGAGGCATGCAATTCAGACCAAAAAATAAAAATCATTTGCTTTAACTCCCTTAATGTATTTTTGTTGTTGTTAAAGTATTATTTACAAAAAAATATCATTTAATCTATTGGTAAATAATTATATTTTTGTTAAGTGCTTTCTTTAATTATTTTGTTCAGAAACCTCGTTTTATGGATTTTTTAAAAAATCTTTTACAGTCTAACTTTGATTATTTAGTTTATTCATGATGATCAGTCTCTCTAGTGTAGTTATCCAAACGATGATTATCATTTATATATATATATATTCATTTCTTTGATAATTTCAAATGAATGACTAAGGTAATTCTAAAATATACTTCTAGTTAAATAATACTAATAAAATTATGTCATTTGGCTAACGGTTTAAACAATAAAAAGATAATACGTCACAAAAAATAATATTGTTTGTAAATTTTCCTCCATTTTAAGATTAGTCGTCAATCAATGAATTAATGTCGTTTTTTTTTGGACAGACATGTCGGCATTAAAGAGAGAAACAAAGTCACTTTTAACACAAGAAAATGACATATAAAATGCTCCACTATTTTTTTTGTTTACCGTAAAACTTTTAAGATGCTACTAGCATCATGCTAGGCACGGCACTGTTATAGTGATGATTGAAACTCATACATATGTTTTTGGTTTTATAATGGAATACATGCATGTGTATATGCATTTTAAAAGAGACAAGGGAAAAATCCATTGACCAAAGTGAAAAGAAACCGACTCAATAATAATTGACACGTTTACTTCCAAAGTCTTGAGGCAGTGTCTATCTATCTCTTTTGAGAACTTCCAATCTTTTAGGAAAGACCTAATCATTTCCAGAATCAATAATCAAAATAATGAATCTCTTTCATGGTCAATAATTAATTATACAAGAAGAATCCAAAAACATAAGCAAAACGTTCCTACTTATAATAGATGTAGCTTGTCTCCCAAGAAAGACCTAATCGTTTCCAGAATCAATAATCAATGTGATAAGTTTGATACTGTGTATATTAATTACTGATACGTACCAGAGTCCATCTTTTTTTTCTCCCTGCAGAATTTGACAGGCATTATCCCACCGGAGTTCTCTCAGCTGCGTTATCTCAAAACTCTGTAAGAAAAGCAAATGAACTTTAGATTTTCTTACCTTGTCAAAATTAAATGTATATTAATTATATAATGTTTTTTGACGTATACTATTTGGTGCAGGATCCTTAGCCGTAATTGTCTTACTGGTTCAATCCCAAAAGAATGGGCATCAATGCGTTTGGAAGAGTTGTAAGATCAGTGTTTGTTTTTACCTTCGTTTTTATTGTTGTGTAATTAATGAAAATTATTCATTAGTTAATTATTGATGCCTTTGTTGGTTCGATGGACATATGCAGATTACTTTTGGGGAACCGATTAACTGGTCCATTTCCGAAAGTGTTAACCAGCATAACATCACTGCGAACTTTGTAAATTTCGGCATCCTTTTTATCCATAACCTTAGTTAATTGGTGATTTTTATTGTGATTTAACTCTCATGATGCAAATATTTGTTCTTTATAATGATAGTTATTGACATTCTAAAAAGTTATAGGATTTAAAATTATGCAGGAACCTCGAAGGAAACCGATTTTCAGGACCAATCCCTGCTGAGATTGGAAAACTGGTTCATCTGAAAGAATTGTAAATTTATTTCGCTCATATAATTCTCAATTTTTGTATAGTTTTTAGTCGTTATTTATTGTTATTATCCTTTTATCCGACTTCGCGGCAGGGTTCTGTCTTCAAATTCTTTCAGTGGATATTTACCTGAACAACTTGGACTCCTTAAAAATATGTTTTCCATGTAAGGATTATTTATTCGACATGGTTAATATGACAACAAATGAGTAAATTAATTATTTATTTTTGTTAGTTAACTATTTCAACTATTGGTGCTTTTTGTAGGATGATAAGTGATAATAACTTCACCAGAATTTATTGGAAACTGGACATGGTTACATAATCTGTAAGACTGTTTCATTTTTTCAAAGTTCAAAGTTGTAGGTCTCCTCATGAAAAACATACGCACTGAAATATTGTTTTGCAGGGAGATGTTCGGTAGCGGTTTGGATGGTCCATTACCTTCCACTACTTCAGCCCTGACTAGCTTGGTCAAACTGTAAGGCACCGTTTATTCTCTTCAAATCCGTTTACTCTTGAAACAATGTTGCTTTATTTTGTTGTATTTGACAGCCAGATTAGCGATCTAGGAGGAAATCCGTCTTCCTTTCCTCCACTGCAGAATTTGAAGTCTCTCAAAACATTGTGAGTTAGAACACAATTTATCTTTTGTGTAGGCAGTAAAGATATCCTAGAAAACATATACGGACGCAGGGAGTTGAGGAGATGCAACATATACGGACGACTTCCTAAATATATTGGAGATATGACGAGTCTGAAAACACTGTAAGTAATAATCAAGATACATCGTGGGAAAGAAAAAGCTTTAAATTTTAAACAGGATAGTTAGAGCCGAGCTCGCGATATAATGATTATGTTTGTTGTATAGTGACCTCAGTTTTAACATCTTAACGGACAAGATCCCGTCATCATTAGCCAACTTGAAGTTAGCAGATTATATGTAAGTACTAACTTCGTTCTAGGTAACAAAGTCTCAGTTTAGAATCTTTTTTTCTTCAGATTATCTTTGAAATCTTTTTCTATTCAGTTACTTGGCAGGAAACAAGTTCACAGGAGGTGTTCCGAACAGTTTTATCGAAACTAATAAAAATATGTATGGAGATATGACTTGCTAACTTTCAAATGTGCCAACTATATATATAGCGACCTTTTAAATTATCTTTGTTCTACTTTTATGTGCAGAGATATATCTTCCAACAATTTCACCCTTCAAAGTTCAATTCCTAGTGGTGATTGTGACCAAGTTAATAATGCGTATGTTTTCACAAATAACTCTTATAATCATAAACAATTTGCTCATACGTTCAGAAAATAAATAATGTTGTTCTTCATTTATAGGAATTTGGTGGAAAGCGCGCTTTTCCATGTGGAATGAATCGTAAGAAACCATGTTTCCAATTATAAAACATGATTGTTTGTTTCTTTATGGCTGTTTTTGTGGTCTCTGATCAAATAATTGACTTTATTTTTTTTAGCTATGTTTTAGTGAAGTACTGATTGATGATGGATTTTCTGTTTTCCTCTGAATTTGGGTTTTCAGATATAAGGGCTACCCTTGTTACTTCCAACACTTCCCTTGCCTTTTGCCTAAAAGAAAATGTAAGTTACAACACTGTAATTGTTGTCTTTCTCTGAGAGAACCTTATGCATGTAGATTAATTTTTTTTTTATATTTTTAAAAAATTTCTTGCAGACAAATATAAGCTATACATAAACTGTGGGGGAGATGAAATAAACGTTGACAAAGAAAAGACATACGAAGCTAACGTAGAGGGCCAACGACCTTCTACATTTGTCTATGGCTCTGACAAGCACTGGGCATTTAGCAGCACCGGACACTTCATGAATGATCTTACAGAAGTGGATGACTACACCGTGTCTAACACCTCTACACTATTAGCCGATGCTTCGTCTCCAAGTTTCGTGCTGTACAAGACGGCTCGGATTTCTCCTCTCTTGTTGACATACTATGGAATCTGTCTCGGCAATGGGGAGTACACTGTGAGTCTCCACTTTGCAGAGATAATATTTACCAGCGACAGTACATTTTACAGTCTTGGCAAACGAGTTTTTGATATTTATGTTCAGGTACGTCTCTCCGGAACCCAACAAATGTAAATCATAACATTTTAAACACTTACTTATTTATAACTTGCTCGTAGGAGAAGTTGATGATTAAAAACTTCAACATTAAAGAAGCTGCTGGTGGATCGGGGAAGCCAATCATAAAAACATTTTTGGTAAATGTAACAAATCATAATCTGAAGATCAGCTTGAGGTGGGCTGGCAAAGGGACAACTACGCTTCCAATTAGAGGAGTTTATGGCCCTATGATCTCAGCAATATCAGTTGAACCTAGTAAGTAATCTTACTTTAAACAGATCTTTGAATCGATATCTTAATCATTAGCGGAGAGATGATGGCATTTGTTATTGGCAGATTTTAAATCTCCGGAGCATGATGACAAGAAGAATATCCTACTAATAGTAGGAATTATAGTTGCAGCAGTAATCCTCATTTTGGTCATCATAGTGATCATTTGCATGTGGAAAAGAAGGATTTACAAAAATGCAATGGACAAAGGTCTCTTAACAGTTTAGCTCCTTACGTATTTTTGTCTAGGTTGCTTCTTTGTGTCTACTAACGCTTTGATTTGAATTGTGTATAACCATACAGAGCTGAGGGGTTTAGATCTACAGACTGGAACCTTCACTCTTCGACATATAAAAGCGGCCACTAATAACTTTGATGCAGCAAACAAGATTGGTGAAGGTGGATTTGGCTCTGTTTACAAGGTTATCTATCCTCAATTTTCTCTGTTTTCCTACTCTGTGAAAATTTAAAGATGCATGCATTTTAAGAGTGGCTCTCATTTTCTTGGTGCAGGGTGTGTTATCCGAGGGGAGGATGATTGCGGTTAAAAAATTGTCTTCAAAGTCCAATCAAGGAAGCCGAGAGTTTGTGAATGAATTAGGGATGATCTCATCTCTACAACATCCAAATCTTGTGAAACTATATGGATGTTGTGTGGAGAAGAAGCAACTGATATTGGTCTACGAGTATTTGGAGAACAACTGTCTTTCTCGTGCTCTATTTGGTCTGTTTCTTCAACTTTAAGATTTCCAAAGACTAGAAACCATGTATATCATCTATCAGGTGACATGATTGCTAAAATTCCCTATGTGGGGGTTGATAATTTTATTTCACAGGATCGAGACTGAAATTAGAATGGCCTACAAGGAAGAAGATTTGTTTGGGCATAGCTAGAGGACTAACATTTCTCCATGAAGACTCTGCGATCAAGATTGTGCACAGGGATATAAAGGCGAGTAACGTGTTGCTAGATGAGGATCTCAACGCCAAAATCTCTGACTTTGGTTTGGCAAAGCTGAATGATGATGAAAACACACACATCAACACTCGTATCGCCGGAACACCGTAAGTTCGTCTCTTTACTAATTAATGAGTTTCAAGTATAAAGTTCTCAAGGGTAAATCATTTTTCTTGGTATTCTTATATACATTTGCATGTTACAGAGGATATATGGCTCCGGAATACGCTATGCGTGGTCATTTGACTGAAAAAGCTGATGTTTATAGCTTTGGCGTCGTTGCCCTTGAAATCGTCAGTGGAAAGAGTAACTCAAACGTCAAACCAAGCGAGAAATTGGAGTGCCTTCTTGATCAGGTAAATAATTCCCATCTTCTTCAAGTGATTAAACAATAAACCAGAAAATAAAAACAAAGTCACTTTGGTAATCTCTCTCTTATTCCTTACGTGTAGGCCTACGTTTTGCAAGACATGGGATGCTTACTAGACTTGGTTGATCCAGTGCTAGGTTCAGCTTACTCAAAAGAGGAAGCAATGGTGATCTTGAACGTGGCGCTAATGTGCACTAACACGTCCCCGGCGTTAAGGCCAAAAATGTCGCAGGTCGTGAGTCTCCTCGAGGAAAAGACCGCAATGAAAAACCTGTTGTCGGACCCAAACTTCTCAGCAGTGAACCCGAAGCTGAAGGCTTTAAGAAAATTCTTTTGGCAGAGCGAAGCCTCCACAAGCGGACCTCGTACCACTGACTCTGTTGATGCTGAAGAGAACGTATCAAAAGACGAAATAGTAGAAGAACCAGAACTTGAGTGTGAGTGAACTTGAGTGTGAGTTCTACACCATATTTGTTTTAAGCAATTAATATGACATTATTATGACCATATCCCAAACTTAGTTTCCAGAAAAAATAATGAAAATATGGTTATGAAGTTGTTTTTATATGTTAAACATTCTTAGCGAATTAAAAACAGAACCATGATAACCAATAGCCATCAATGACTTGAGTGTATATATATCTATTACACGTCAAACTAACGGTTTTGTCTTTACAAAAATCATAAAGACGATTAATTAGGAGTGTTTTTATCAAAAAAAAAAAAAAAATTGTTTAAAAGCATTAAATATTGAGATAATTAGGTGAGAGATATCCTCTTTGGACAAATAAAATTTTCGGTATATTTATATAAAGCCTAACATAATGATATAATATTTAGCCCACTTTCCTTTTCACTTTAACTCGACGCACCTGACGTTTCGTTTTCGTTTTTAATTTCTAACTTTTGAATGTCTATTTTTCTCTCATGTTTATCTTTCTCTCAACTATGTTCTAAATCATTCAAACCAAATAGAAAAACAGTGTCGTGTTTACTAATCACACTGTAGTACTAGAGAATTAGAGCATGAATAACGGCAAGTCCAAGACCATGTCTAAGGTCCAAAAGATCTAAAAAATAAATCCAAAATGAAATAAAAAATGGATCTGGTCCAATTTTGGATTTTTGATCAGGCTTTGGATCTGCATATGTGTCTCATTGTGGTTGGTTGGAAAATATCTATTACACCCAAAAAAAATTTCCCGTTTTCTTTTCGCGATTCGCTATCTCTCTCTCTCCCTCTCTCCCTCTCTCTTTTTCATTGACTATTTCACCGATGTTGCTCTCTTTGAAAACGAGAAGCCCTAATCTGGGGAAAACGAGAAGCCCTAATATTTGGTATGTTGCTCTCTTTGATTTCGTAGTTTCTGGGTTTTTGTTTTCCTCTCCGATGTGTCGTGAGATCGCTAATCGAATATCAGATTTCATATTGTTGTGTTCATTGATTCTAGTGTTTTGATTTCAGAAATTTGATTTCTTAATCGCCATGCCTTGTTCTTTCGATCTAAATGGGATTAATTGGATTGTGTCATTGTTAGTGTTTAGTCTCTCTTAGGTTTTTGATGTTCTGTAACAGGAAGCATTCTCTTTGGTCAAATTTTTTGTCTTATATATCTTCTTAGTTTCTTCTCTTTCAGCTGAAACTAGTTCTTAAAGTATCTTGTTTTATATTCCTTCAAATTTGTGACCCTTAGGAAAATCTTGAGGATTGTATTTGTAAAGGTCACTGCTTTGGCCTTTCTTTGTTTCAAGCTCCTAAAAAGTGTATTCCTTTATTTGATATGGTGTAATGGTAACAGATGGTCAGGTTGTTAGTTTTTAGGTTTTTGATGTTCTGTAACAGGAAGCATTCTCTTTGGTCAAATTTTTTGTCTTATATATCTTCTTAGTTTCTTCTCTTTCAGATGAAACTAGTTCTTGAAGTATCTTGTTTTATATTCCTTCAAATTTGTGACCCTTGGGAAAATCTTGAGGATTGTATTTGTAAAGGTCACTGCTTTGGCCTTTCTTTGATAGATAACAACATTATTAGTGTTTAGTCTCTCTTAGGTTTTTGATGTTCTGTAACAGGAAGCATTCTCTTTGGTCAAATTTTTTGTCTTATATATCTTCTTAGTTTCTTCTCTTTCAGCTGAAACTAGTTCTTGAAGTATCTTGTTTTATATTCCTTCAAATTTGTGACCCTTGGGAAAATTTTGAGGATTGTATTTGTAAAGGTCACTGCTTTGGCCTTTCTTTGTTTCAAGCTCCTAAAAAGTGTATTCCTTTATTTGATATGGTGTAATGAAAAACTAACAACATTGATATTTTTATACTACTTGCCATATATGGAGCCGAAGGATATCAACTTGCAACAGCTCTTTCCTTCTTTGTTTGTGCGCTTGTGTGAGAATCTTGAGACCCTCCAGAAGCTTCCAAGACGTCACAACTTCCTCCTCAAGTTGACAAGATACAAGGCAAACCTTACTTGCCTTACTTGGACCGATTCTACACTAAATGGTCCAACGGTAATATTTTCATTAAATGTTACGATTTGTTTCTTCTTTTAGAGAATTAGAATATTGTAGCTGAGCCTATATAAGCTCATTATTTCGTTCATTTTAAAGTACCCTTGATCATTTTAAACTAATAGAAATCATTTCTTCTTGTCAAAGTTTAAAGTCTTTGTCATTTGTTCTTTAGTTCTTTGTGAGTGAGTCACTTAGTACTTTAGAAACATGCGGATTAAGTTTCTACATAACCTTCACACAGTATTAACACTTTTGTCACAATAAACCCATGTACATGTGTGTGTGTGTAATAATGAGTAACAGAACTAAGCTGGCCGGATGCCAAAAGATTGATGGAATAAGAGATGGTAGAAGAACACCAAGATCTATTATTTTTAGTAATTTAGTAAATATATTGCATTTAGTTCAGATCTTTTTAATTTTTGGATTGGTGCAAGCTTAAACCTGTATATTATTTTCGGATCTTTTCAAAATAAAAGTTAATGAAAAACCAAAAGCATATTCTTTGAAATATTACATAAAGATATCTTAAGCAAAATCCTCTTTGATCAGTCATTAAATGAGATTTCTAATATTGCAAAAAAAAATGGGGCTTTTGCAAAAATGCCACTTTTTCAATGCCACTTTTCAAAAATACCCCTTTTTTAAAACCTTATAAAAAATGCTCTTAAAAATATAAGATTTACCCAAATATGTATGTAATATTATTAAAACATACACAAACTACATTTCTATGTATCTAAAATCTTATAAATACTTTATAAATACCTTATAAATGCATTTTAAATACCTTTTAAAACCTTTAAAATATCTTGTAAAATCTTAAAAATCCTTTAAAATAACTTGTAAAACCTTTAAAAACACCTTATAAAACCTTATAAATACTTGGATCGAGTCTTCAAGTAGTAGTTATAATCCATAAGTACCTTATAAACCTAATAAAACTTTATAAAAATTTCAGATTTAAAAAGGGGCATTTTTGAAAATGGACATCTAAAAGGGGCATTTTTGAAAAGGGGCACACCAAAAGGGGTATTTTTAACAATTTCCCAAAAAAAATTGTGAAATTTGTAGTTTCCTTAAAACGATGTAATTTTATTTAATGTGTAAATATCATATCTAATAGTTCTATAAACTTATGATATCGTTGTAAGATAGTATTTATAATTTTTAAATTCTATAAAAAGCTGATAATATTAATAATATTTGAATTCTATCAAAATTAAAAAATATATATTATGGAACCATTTAAAAACAAACTTTTAAATTGACTCAAAATATATGTCTTTTAAATAAAAGTATTCTTAAAAAGAAAAACAACAAAATGATGTTTAATTTCACGGGACGGATTATATGGTGAGACGGGTTTGGATCGATATTAATGTGGGACGGTATACCACGGGTGAAATGCTAAAATTAACAATCCAAATACAATTATACAATCTTAAACACTAAACAAACAAAAAACAATATTAACAAAACAAATGCAACTTAAAATTTAATTTTTAAAAAATATATCGTCCCGCGGTGTATCGCGGGTCAATCACTAGTCATCAATACAAGTCTCTAGTTATTCTTCATTGGTTCAATTAGATCCTTGCTCATATAAACAAAGGCTCCTCTTTAAGATTGTCGCCGTTTGTGAGGATAATATTAGATTTTCTAACTCCAAATTAATGAACCCCAAATTAATGAACCCCTGAGACCATAGAACCAAGTTCGGAGACCTTGGCTTAAACTGAACAAATTAAAAAGAAGAGTGAGAATTATGGCAGTGTTAGTGTAGCAATACCTTATAACCTTAGCCCTACATGTCATTTTCCTACTGATTTTAATTCTAATATAATTTATCATTAAAAATTTTAATCTAACTCTGAGATTGAGTCAAGGAACCATCTTCTGCTCACTTGTATCTACTCTCAAGCTATCTGGCCAAGTGTCCTCTCTAGACTTGATCCAAACAGGACGTTGCTCCTCTCGTGGGCTGAGCTTTAATTTCTTTCATGGGTAAGAGTCTCCTCTAAGCAAGCTTCGTCTATCCTCAGGAAACTCGCAGCTCAAGCAACAATCTACCACATTTGAAATCAACGAAACAACATCGTCCACAATCAGGTTGTAATCCCATCTGCCACTATTTTCTTGCTTTTTGATAGAGAAATTCGAAAGATCATCTCTGCAAGACGTCACAGGAAACGCTTCCTCAGCTTGATGCAGTTATGGTTAATATGATCATGCCGATTTGTGTTTTCCCCAATTTGATTATGTCGATTTTTTTCTATATTTAAACTTATTTAAAATTAGGGCAATTAGGACTAGTTAGTGCTTTATTTGTAAATTTAGTTAAGGATAGAGGAATGAGGTGTTATAACGGGTGTTAATTTAATTATTTAAGATAGTTTTATAATGGTTTCGGAAATGAATCTAATTATTTAAAATAAATTTATACCTTAATGACAAAACACTACTACAAAAATAAGATAAAAATCAAAATTTTCAGCTTTTCTACAAGAATTATAATTTTCTAAATTATTACATACATATTCTTTATATATTAAAAATGGGTTTTTAATTCTGATGTGACAAAATATTTGTATCAGCACTTTATATAAAATTAGTTTGCATCAAATATACAAATAAACAATGAAAACACTATATTTTTAGCAATAAAAACTGATACACTTGAAGAACTAATTTTTAAGAATGAGTTAATTTGATCATTTTGGCAAAAATAATAATAATAATAACATTATTCTGAAATGAGTATTTTAGCTTACATGTCCAACATAAAGAGCTCCCATAGCATTTTTATTATTTATTAACTAGTAAAGATATTTTGGTTATGTAGGTATAAAATAATGTTTAATTAGCAAGCAGTAGTATTACATACACAAGTACTAGGATTATTATATCCTAAACACTCACATCCAAAAACTTGTTTTTTTCTCTCTTTAAAAGCTGCTACGCATGCATCGCTTCTTATCTTGCTTGTAGTACCAATGGGACAAGATCGATCATACCATTCATCACTCACCCTGCACACCTTTTTTGGCACCCGAGCATCCATCTCTATCATTTTATATAAAACCACAAGACATTTAGATAAACAATTGGAGATGTACAACAAATTTTAATTACTATAACCATGTTTTAGACCTAATTCCTTCTTTCTTATTTTCTTCTTTTTTTTATAGAAACCTCTTTCCTTTTTAATTTCTTCGATTCAAGTAATTTTTTCGCAATTAATTTTTCAGCTTTCCACAAGTAACCAGTTAAAAGTTTAAAACTAATTAAACATAAGCTAATTTAATTTATTACCTTGAAAATGACCCAAAACAAATAACATGATAACACAAGAAAATGTGAACAATGTAGCAGATCTCATAACTTATAAATGCTGTATAAAATTATCTCTTGATGTATGAATACGTAAAGTCATATTTTGTCTTAATCTCGTAACAATCATATATATACTCAAACACATGATAAAAATAGTTGAATCTACTAATAGATAACGGTGGGGCTAAGTCAAACCTTTATTTGCGACTATATGTAACCAAATTAGTAAATAATCCATTAAAATGCAAACAATGCTTATTGACAAGAGACGAGTCGTAAGAAGAGGTTAGGGGTGTCATGAGACTCCTATAAAAATTAATATATAACTATTTATAGTGTAAATTTGATTGAATTAGTAAATTATTTGGTGAAAATTAGGTTTTGATCCCAATATATTTTGTTTACAAACTTCATATGCATCTACTAATTCATATAATTACATCTATTATTATAGTATTTTAATAATATTTTTTATTATGACCTTCATTTCTGAACGACGACATTTTTGAGACACAACATATGTAGAACTTCTTTCCTTTCTTTCTTAATTGCAGTACTATTTTCGCAATCAAAGTTCCAAACTTTTTTAACTAACCAATCAAATCTGAACACAAGCTAATATATTATTTTGAACCTGACTCAAAACGAATAATATGATAACACACGAAAACATGGACAAGTAACGTAGCATATCTCATGACTTAGAAATAATATACAAATGTATCTTTTGATGTATGCCTAAAGATATATTTTGCCTTAATCTCGTACTAGAATACTACATTTTTTCAAACATTGATAGTAAATATATCCAAACACACGAAATAGCTCTTGGGTTAATGTTTTAGGAAAAACGTTATTACAAAACTGCCATTAAAAGATGTTGTCACGTCAGCGAAAGAAAGTGTTGTAAACATCAAGTATGTCGCTATAATGACGGCAGATTTAATATAATTTGGTAGATTTGCACGGTAAAATTAGTAAAATGATTGAGATACGTGGTAGAGTTATTAGGCACTAGAGTTTATTGATAGAGTTACTTATAGTGGTAGCAGAGTAAGTTGGAAACAGAGTTAAATGACAGAGTAGGATGACATTACGTTTCCTCACATAGCACCGTGACAGATATAACGTAATGTGGTGGCAGAGTTAAAGGATAGAAAAAAGAATTAAGTTATGTAACAGAGTAACCTGTACTAGCAGCAGACTAAATAAGCGATATAGAGTTACTTGACAGACAAATCGAAATAAGTCTGTCATAACGTGGATTAAGTAAGTCTGTCATAACGTGGATTAAGTAACTCTATCATAGCGTGGCAAAGTTACGGTTTTCTCATATAGCACCCAATATTTTATTTATCAGCGCATAGTTGTTAGAGTTAGGTAGTATGTGGTGATAGATTTATAAGAAATTATTAGCGATTAGACTTAAGTAGCGCGAACATGACATTATGAAGTG